GTCAAAAAAGAAAAGAAAAGAGGTTAAATCATCCCAAATAGAGAACAACTGCACTGTCTTTCATCATCCTGCTAATATCTGCCCCCATGTTTCTTTGAGAACTTTTCATGTAACTTATACTCTGGCTGATCTGAGAGATCACTGGACCAGACCAAACCACCTCCTGCCGTTGCCTACAATATTCTGTCAATAGTTAGATAATGACCTGAAATAATTTAGGTTCATCATTTTGCAGAGGGAATCGTGACCCATTTCTGAACTGATATAGCCTCCTCCACTCACATGTTTTAATGCCAAAAAGCTTCTCATAGAGCTCTGTGGAAGATGCTCAAGTTCAAATGCTGTGCATTTCTGAGGCACATGGTCCTGTAATTCCTGTATCACTCTGTGCTAAGTATTCCATAACAGAAATTCAGAATCTGCTCTTGAAATGTCATCCATCCTTTCCAAACCCCTGCCCTTTGACAGAAGTACTTCAGTCACAGGCACAAGTAACTTCAAGTTGCTGGTCCCCGGCTTGTCATCAGCTGGGAAGACCAAATTGCAGAGCAAGCTTTTGCAAAGCTGTCTCCACGCATTTACTGGTTCGTTAGACTTTCCAATGCAGGTTTTGGAAAGCACAGAGATGTTCTCCTACTTGATAAACTACAAATTAATTTCGAAAACAGTTCTAGTTCCTGAGATGTTAATCATGTACCAGGTGTAACTGCAAAGCCAAAACTGAAAAAAAGTACATGGACCATGGAATACACACTGCTCTACACCATGGAGCCACAAAGGCTGGCTTCATCAACAGCTGCCAGTATGCACATCTGAGAACAACTGGAAGAGTAAAACATATCCTCAGAAGCACTATGAATTGTTAGGAATTTGTTAAGGCACAGCTCAATGTCCTCTGAGAAGAATATATGTTTCTGTTACACAAGTTCACGTATTTGAATTTTCATTTGTTTCTTTTCTGTGTTCATTGGATTATGCCTATTCTCTCACCTTTCCTTCCTCTTGCTTTGCCAGGTGATCAGGGGGAGGGCCTGTTATGCCATGGTTTGCCTTTGTAGATGCCAGAGATTTTCCTGATCTTTGTCTGACGGACTTATCTTTTTTTCCTGAAGCTGATGTAACAGGAGAAATTACGGTCGGAATATGAACGGAAGGGATGTTCACAATTCTTTCTAAAACAGGATCTGTTTCATCATCTAAGGAAGAGAAAAGCAGCATTTTTAATGCAATTAAGTTTCATAAATGTAGATGGTCACATTTATTTTTTTAAACAAGATTTTTGAACACTAAATTTTACCTTTGAAATAATAACCTCAGTAGGGAGTTCATTTTTTCAGATAGAGCGACTGAACATACGCAATTATTTAGAAAATCTTTCCACAGACTGACTACTTGTTAGTCTAAAAGGCACCTTGAAACTATTGTTCCCCATAGGCCATCACTTGTCTCTCAAACATAAAAAATACCATTTTTTCATTATCTTTCACCTCCAGAATATTAAGACAGGTGGAGACATTTTGAGTCTAGTATTTAGGAAATGATCACTGCTGTTGTGCTTTATCATGGGCTTATCCAGCACAGACCAACTCCAGCAGTTTTGCATTCCATAGCTCTATGTTGCTACAGTGACTCAGAAGGATTCTGCAGATCTAGACTTGCTGAGACTCTCCCAATTCCCAAAGGCCGAGCATCAGAGCAGGCTGCTGAGCACGTTCACAGCAAGTAGTCATGTTGCCTTCCCAAACAGTTGCTTGAAAACAAAATTAATACAAATCAAGATTTTATGTAAAACATTTTTGTTTCAATGAACTGACACTTCCCTTTAATCAGAAAAACGCAGTGAGCTCTAATCCTAGCGCTTTTTTGAAAGATTTTTTTTTTTTTAATCATCTTTTCTTGCTTGAGGATAGTCCCAAACCCACAATTTGCAAAATAGCACCTTGTTTCCCATCCAGACAACTTAAGCAACTGAATTCTTGTTTTGGAGAACCTGTTAGCCCTGATGGAGCAACTTACTAGCCACCTCTTAACCACATCCATACAGGTAAGAACTGAAAACACCAGCAAGCGAAACATGATCTCAGAAACCACCTTTTGAAAACCTTTTTTAAATAAATAGTTTGATTTGCTTAGCAGTTTCTACAAAATATGAAGTTTAACAAGAGGTCAGTAATTTCAAGGATGTCTTTAGGAAGATTTACAGATTTTTTTTGTTGTTTTGGTAAAATTATATTTTAATTCTGCTTCTTCCAGTGAACAGTATTATTTAATGTGAAAACAGACATATCAGGCAAAGAAAAGTTAAATAACTCATTGACAAATTGCAAGCTGGATCACATTCAGACAAAAAAGGAAAGAAATGTATCCAGAAGCATGCTAATAGAACCATTTTGGTGTGAGATCATAGCATTTTCTGTAACGCAGATGAAGTCTTAGTGTATTTTTGGCTGAAAAAGAAAAAAGGTAGGGCCTCAGTGCTACTATGTCCACTGTTTCCAGGAAGATTTTGGCACAGTTAGTCTTAGCTTCACAGATATGAAAACACAGAGACCACCTAAAAATAAAGTTCTAAACTACTAGAAAGGTTGCCTGCATGTTCGTTTGCCTTATAGATGATTCCAGATTTATGGAAACTGCAAAGTGACCCAAAATTTAAGAATCTGAGGCTAGAAGAAACTACGCGACCAGCTGGTGATCCCATTTTGGAGTCCATGGATAACAAGGCTTCCACCTCAGTTTTGAAGCCTTCAATCACAGAATCATAGAATGGTTTAGGTTGGAAGGGACCTCAAAGATCATCCAGTTCCAACCCCCTGCCATGGGCAGGGACACCCTCCACTACACCAGGTTGCCCAAAGCCTCATCCAACCTGGCCTGGAACACTGCCAGGGATGGGGCAGCCACAGCTTCTCTGGGCAACCTGTGCCAGTGCCTCACCACCCTCAGTGTAAAGAATTTCTTTCTTATATCTAACCTAAATCTCCCCTCTTTCAGTTTAAATCCGTTGCCCCTTGTCCTATCACTACACACTCTTGTAAAAAGTCCCTGTCCAGCTTTCCTGTAGCCCCTTTAGGTACTGGAAAGCTGCTATAAGATCACCCTGGAGCCTTCTCTTCTCCAGGCTGAACAGCCCCAACTCTCTCAGCCTGTCTTGATAGCAGAGGTGCTCCAGCCCTCGGATCATCTGCATGGCCTCCTCTGGACTCGTTCCAGCAGCTCTATGTCCTTCTTGTGTTGGGGACTCCAGAGCTGAACACAGTATTCCAGGTGGGGTCTCATGAGAGCTGAGTAGAGGGGCAGAATCACTTCCCTTGACCTGCTGGCCACAATCTCAGGTTTTGTCTCGGTGCCAGCATTAGGGAAATGCAGAGATATCCCAACAGATCCATGAACTGCACATCACCACACAGACTTTGCAAATCCCCGTTTTCGTTCGCTGATGCGTGCCTGATGCACGAGAAGCTGATGCTTGGTCAGTGGCTCTGCTCTCCTGTACCGAAATCGATGCCGTGTGGCTTTCCCGGTTTCTTGGAAGTCTGAGGACAGGCGAACAAATCCGGTTTAGTTGTAATATGCTGGAGATAAATTCTCAGCTAACTATATAAAATGGGGAGGTTTTAAATGCTCGATGGGGTCCATTTTGATACACAGTGACCCCTGAGGGAATTTCACCCACCTCTTTACTCTGGTTGCCCTGAAAAATGGGAATATATCGTCTTGGGGTAACAATGAAGAAGAGTGGATCGTTGAGACTAAGGGAAAACGTCTTTAGAAATCCTGAGAGAGATGGGAAATCCCAGAGCCCTGTTGGATTAAGGAAGGTTTCCTTCTGGCACACAAATGCAGATTTCTGGCACTTGGAGTTGTACTCTCGTGATGTGGTCACGACACAAAGAGCAGCCAAGGCTTCTGCAACACCCCGGGGCAGCCGCCCCGCAGGTGCTGGTGCCGTGCCCGAGTCACAAAGCCTTGAGGAGCTTACTCCTAAGCCTGGCTGAAAAGCGGTCTGAAGTTAGATTTTGGTCATGCTGGAGAAAACAAATCATAATTTCAAACTTAAACAAATATTAACATTTAAGCAAGAAATTGGCTGCCCTAAAAGGAAGATGGAAGAGATAAAATGAGAAAAACAATAAGAAAAATGAGAATTAGAGGGGTTCCAGAAAATTGTTTCAGTAAAGCAGGGAAAATGAGTAATTTGCACCCAACTTAACCAATCAGTGGAGAGACTGCGGATTACACGGCATACCGTTCCACACGAGGGATGGGCAGCACACGAGAATAGTCTAAGCCTGAATATTTCTGGTTGGAATTTTTCTGAGCACTTACGATACAAACACCCGCAGGGGGAATTCGGCAGAAGCAAGTGCTCGTAGAAAAACTGCAAACAATAAAGAACACGGTCAGCAACGCTGCACCAAAGCTCCACGGGGCAAGGACTATGCCAGTGTGGAACAGGGTGTGAAAAGCCTGAACATCACAGCTGACATGTAGGTGTTCAGTTAGACACGTCTCTCTCTCGTGCCAAATACAAGTTTTCCCAGGCCATGACATTGTCAGTGTTCTCGTGGCTCAATTTTAAGAAGTCCCTTTTTAGTAATGAATGTGTAAAATGTATTTGAATAATTAAAACTGAGTGTATAGCTGAACGGTTTACCAGAGCCCACACAAAGATGCATTCAATTAAATGTTTTCATATTTTAAGAGCTGAAAAAGGCTGGGATTATTTTCTGACCAGAGGCGGGTTTCACTTTTATCCGTATGATGGTTTCGGTGGCTTCTCAAATGTAATGGAAACAAAAAGCTCTTGGTAAAGGCAGAGGCTGTTTTCGCTGTGGTTTGGTGAAGCAATTGCTTCCAGTTGGTGAATGTGTTTATGGAAAGGCTGAGAGAAATCCCTCGCTACGTCTGCGCAGCAATAACCGAAGCCCGACTCCTAACCCAAAATGGAAGTTCCATAATCACCTGTATAAGTTTACAAAAATATTATTTCTCGGAAAACCAAGAAGACTCCTCAGCAAATCACATTTTCTTTGGCTCAAATTAATTGGCTGATTTTCCTGGGCTACTTAATAACAATACTTGCAAGCTTCTCCCCGCACGGCTCTGTTTTCACAGTAAGTAAAAACGCGCGGAGACCTCTCCCCATTTTGAAATCTGAATCACAGAACGTTCTTGACAATGTGATCTCTTCTCCAGCCTAGCTGAAAATCCCCCACCACGCAGTAACAGCTGCTGAGAAAGGCAGAATCGCATGCAACAAATTATTGGGTTAAGAAGTGTATGAACCAAAAAAAAAATATGGGGGGAAAAAAAAAAGAATTCCCCCTATGGTTCTCAAATATCCTTTTCTATTTGCTTACTTTACCTGCTGTCTTCCCTGTAGGTCCATAATAGCTCAGGGACAGATGGATTCCATTTTCCAAGGTGGCTGAAAAAGATCCAAACTTGCTCACCGCTTTCTTTCGATTTTTCAATTTTCCTTTAAAAAAAAAAATCGGAATGAATTTTCAAGACAGCGACACGTACCAGAAGCACCTGACCTGCAAACCAGTGACTGGTGTGCACAGTGGCACCTCAGTGCAGATGACCGACCCGTAAAACAGACTAAGGTGGGATGGAGGAACCTTTCCCTTCCCACTCACAGGGCAGCGTACAATAGTTTTGCGTCATACAGCTGTGGTTTTTCATCTGGAAATCGCACTCTCACTGCCCAGGGGTGTACAAACAGGCTTCACAGCAGCAGCTAGTGAAAAGTGTGTGAATTCAAACAGCCACACAACCTGGTTCTGCAGTCCAGGATCCTTGTTTCTGTTGCCTGCTTGGCTGACAAGAACGCTAAACTGCTCATTTCCACCACACGTGGACCACTCAGAAATAAAAGTCACTGTCCCTCAGGTATTGTCACACAGACCGTACCTCGAGGAGGAAAGGAAAGAAAGGAGAAAAAGTTGAGAAATTAGGTCCAAAGATACGTCTGGCGTTAGTGAAAGCGATCAGGAGACAAGCTCTCCTGGGGCGCAGGACAAGATGCCATGTGATGAGTACTTGATCCTTGAAACCACATGAACCATGGAAGGTAACACCTCTGAGACAGTGACACTGAATCCCACCCCACCTCTAGTTAAACTCCCACTGCCTTAAAGAAAGGCTCTGCTGGTCAGAGGAAATCCTTGGGGATTTCCAACATGGGGAACAGCTTCTTAAAACTGTGAGGAACTGCAGAGAAGACCACAAAAGAAGGTTCAGGCAAGCACCCGACACCGAGCCATCTCCAGTTCTTCCCTCAACAAGGCATGCACGCTGAGACCTTGTTTGATCCCATTTACTGTCCATCACTGCAATGTTCACCGATGACTACCACCTGCAGGATGCTGTTTTGCCATTCTGACTGCGTTAGAAGTTACCATCGCACCATTCAGCCAGTGCCAAGTATCAGAGAAGACTGGTTCTTCTCTTCCCTCCTGCCTTTCTATAAGGTGCTCCTGTCGACACACGAGGGAAGCCTCCCGCTGGTGCCAGGTGAATACAGCCTGTCTCAGATGCTGGCGCACTAGGGATTGAAAGTACCAGTTGGCAGATGACACAGGACTACTTTCAGAGGGCAGACAAGAACCATCCCCTCTGTGGAAGGCATGCAGATTTTCTATCCAGACAACCTACAATTACACCACTGGTGGCAGTGGAAGCCAAGGAGAGAAGCAGGAGCAGGATGCTTCCTAACACTGGTGAAGATTAAGAGACTTAACACGCTTACCAAAAGCTTTACTCTTCCAATACTCTTCAGTTCAGTGAGAGCAATTCCATAGTGCTTTTGGCAAACATATCCATAAATCATTACAGACTGGCTTCCTTCTTGGGAATGCTCTCACCCCGGTTCAGAAAGGATTTGGATTCAACGCTTCATGAGTGTCAGCAACATGGCAACCAGCAGTAGAAGTTGCTGAACTGCAGAATGATCTGCTTCCACAGCAAAGGTCTTGAGGAGGCACTAATGCTACGGTCATCCGACCCACCAAAGGAGGTCTAGCTCAAAGGGCGAAATCTCCCCATAAAGGGCAGATGTTTATTCTAGTCACAATGGACACGACTCAGTTTGCATCTTCTGAGGCTTTCCTAGGCCACATTAAGATCTGAAGGAGTCCTCCACTACAGAAGAAAAGTCTTTTCTTCAGGAATGGTGACTCTTAGGATTGATTTCCTCACTTTGGAAAAGAGACTGGTTTGAACCTGTTGACCTGAAGTGTGCTGCTTCGTCTTGGTAAGACCTTTCTACACAGTGCTGAAGTTGTCCGACTGGATTTTTACTTCTGTTTACAGAATGGTGATCTTATTCACTCTCTGCCATCAGTAGGAATTTATTTTCTCTTACTTGAAAAGGTTGGCATGCAATTACTAAATAGGTCAAACTATTAATTCTTTGTATCAGTGATGTCAATCCACTAACCTGATCTAAATTTCTGTTCCTCATTACTTTCTTGCACTTCAATTTCTTTTAAGTTTTCCTTGGGGTCTGTGATATGAATGAAGAAATTGTGGTTGTCTTTTATCACTTTCACCTTCACCAAAGTTGGACCTGCAAAGCAATGGAATGCTATCATTGCTCCCACCAGGCTTCAGAACCGTCCCGCACCCAAAAAACCCAGCACCCGCAACTATAAAGTACACAAAAAAGAAAATTGCTCAGAAGAGGACTGAACTGCTTAGCAGCAGACCGAGATGACAAAATGAAGGTTAGCTGAGTTTCGACTAAATATTCAAAAATTTCCTGGCAATCAGATCTGAGAGGCTGCAGAGTAACTCTGTTGCTTAAATACATTGCATTTGACTGGATGAATTACTGGAACGTGCATTCTTGGAATGGAATGGAATACCATGCAACATTCATTGCCACTCTGTTGCTTAAATACATTGCATTTGACTGGACAAATTACTGGAACGTGCATTCTTGGAACACTATGCAACATTCATTGCCATTGAAGAGATAAATATGAACTGATATTTTTCCATTTCTAATTTTCTGGTACTTTATTTCTCTATCAATTATTAACACACTACAAGAAAACGTAAACATTAGTAGTGATAGAGGCTAATATAGAATTACACGGTACTTGCCCATGTCTTTAACTGATTTTCTACTACTGATTCATGAAAAAACATTTATGGATTAAGAAACTATGTCATCAGTTAGTAACTGAGTCAAAGCAAAGCATAAAGAATTAAAGAAACACCTTTTACAAACTTTATCTTCTCCACTTGAATCTGTCCTCCATCAGATGGGAAAAGATATTGATTGGTTCCTGATACTTGAATGAGATCCTCCCCTGTATTGTAGCCAAGAAACTGGAAAAATAAGTTTTAGATTACGTGTAAATGAGAAAAAGGCAGAAGCCATGAAAGAGGCAAGTGAAGGACAGATCTTCAGGATCCCACCGTTCTGGTCAACATTTTTTGCTTCAATATTTAACTAATGTAATAACAACTTTAGCAAATACATAACATGTTATTCTTACATACAAATAATTTCTCACTTACTAACTGAAGTAATTTGTTACACACGAGAGCAGAACCTGGTCCTTCAGTGGTATGAAGCCATCATGGACACCAAAGAGTAGCAAGCAGACTGGTGGCTTAACACACAATGAGAAGGAAAGCAAAATTCTGGCCAAGTACAAAGAGAGAAAGTACAATGCTGTGGGATCAGATAAAGGACAGATAATGGTTCAGCTTTCCACCCTCTGGATTTTGGAATTCAGACACTGTAAATTTGATTCTTAGATTGCTGGGCCTTCCAAAGAGTCACAAACTGGCAAACAATTAGGTGAGTGCACTCAAGCAAGTTCAGACTGAAACATTACACATCTCTGAGTTAAAATGTATTGACCTATGCAAGTTTTGGATGGAAGGCTGAGACTCTGCAAACACAAAGCAGTGCAAACTGCCTACAAACTGTTTGAGCACAACTAGTGAAGAGTTCTCTCTGTGGGAAATATCCTCTGTTAGCATAACAAGCAGAATAGCTTGTTTTAGGGGACTCCAACAACGTGGATTTTGAAACAGGAAAGGGAAGAAACAGTGAACTCTTTTTATTTGATTCCCAACAGCCAAAACTCCAACTAGGTCTAGCAGTCTCCAAATACAGGAGTTGGAACAGGTCTTTACTTTCCCCTTTCCTATTTTCTCCCATGAAAATCACAATTTAGGCAAAATTCACCCCATAAATATATTTTCCATGGTCAATTTATCATTGTGTTCATGTCATATACACGAAAAACCACTCGAGTTAATTACAGTCTTGTGTAGGATAATCCTAAACATCAGAAACCACTTTCCAAAACTTTTAGGAAAGGATCTGCTGCTAAAATGTTGGAGTTAAACAAGATCTAGTTAGGCTTAATTTGCCCTGAACTCCAATTTCATAATGGATAATAGCTTTGCTGTAATCTTGACTCTACATATAAACTGTTAGCACTTTGCTAACATGGTGCAATAATATTACTCCTTACCTTATAAACTTTCCCAGAAAGTTGTTCTGAGATGCTGGGATCTTCCTCAAATTCAGGGGCTTTTGCTGGTTCATCTTTTAACTTTTCTTTGGAAGATTTCTTGTTGGAACCTTTGCTTTCTTCATGTATTGTTATCTCACGTACTTTCTTCTTACCTCCCAAATTTTCTTTTTTTCCTTTTTTTTCTTCCTTAAGCTGTTCTTCCTCTCGTAATCGGTCCTGCTCCTCTTTCCAAGCCTATGTTAAATGTTAGGAATTCAAATGACTGTAGCTCTCTTTGTATTACAAGATGTTTCACACGTGCATGCTGAAAACAGTGCAAGCAAACAAACTCCAAGGAACCAATGTCCAAGTCCCTCAAGTCACTCACGTTTTCCAAACATGTCCACAGTCTTGCAACATTACGCACTACATTTTGCATAAAATTACTGACTCATTCAATCCACAGGACCATTCTTGACCACAGGAGACGTATTGGATGATTATTTGTATCTTACACATTCAGTCATAAAAGAATTACTTTGTTGTGCGCTTTTCCTCGATGTTTATTACCAAATCTGAACGCATCACTGCTATTAGGTTATTCCCAAAATGCGACTGTGAGACAAAATGATAAGAGGGCTGGAGCACCTTTCCTATGAGGACAGGCTGAAAGAGTTGGGGCTGTTCAGCCTGGAGAAGAGGAGGCTCCGGGGTGACCTTATAGCGGTCTTCCAGTACCTCAAGGGGGCCTACAAGAAAGATGGGGAGAGGCTGTTCAGGAGGGCCAGTTGTGATAGGACAAGGGGTAATGGTTTTAAAATAGAGGGAGGTAGATTCAGATTGGATATTAGGAAAAAATTTTTTACCATGAGAGTTGTAGAACACTGGAACAGGTTGCCCAGAGAGGTGGTGGATGCTCCATCCCTGGAGACGTTTAAGGCCAGGTTGGACAAGGCCCTGAGCAACCTGATCTAGTTGGAGATACCCCTGTTCCTTGCAGGGGGGTTGGACTAGATGACCTTCGAAGGTCCCTTCCAGCCCTAACCATTCTATGATTCTATGATTCTATGATTCTATTATTTTACAGAAAGAGGAATGAGGTAACGATGCCAGAATTATCAACTTGTATCAGGAAGACATCTGAGATTGAGTATTCAGGGCTTTGTAGCATTTTATATTCTAAGCATACCAAAGCACAAGCATTTCTGTGGCACAAACGGTAAGCGTTCACAGCCACGAGTTAGGCATGAGCCTAACTTGCCCCATGCCAGCTCAAGTTGAGTGCCCAGGAACTGGTTAACACCATTTCGTACCGACGTTCCAATACTGGCACTGTAAGTGCAGAGCATCACACGCTCTGCGCGTGATGAGACATACTACGGCTGTGAGGAGTCAAAAAGCAGAGGAGTACTACAGCAATTAAGCTCGATTTGTGCCAATTAACAGACAGTGCCAACGCTAAGACTTGAAAAACGTGTGTGTAACTCCTGCCTCAGCCAGAAACCTCCTGTGTGAACCTGGGCAAGTCAGTTCTGTAACGCATGACCATGGTCTGCAGCTGTGAAAAGGGATTCTCTGTCGTGAGGGAGCTCTGAGGTACCACAGTTACACCCCTTAACTTCCAGGAGATGTAGATAGTGAAAGCAGGAGTTGGGTACAGAAGCACTTCCCTGAATCTGGATCTTACATTTTTGTAGCTTTATAACCAGGAAACTACACCAAGAAGTAGGATATTACCCACGACTCGTTTCCTAGTACTGCAATTATGAATGGCTTTTGGAATGTCTAGTCGAACTCCAAACAGTCTTCCCTTAAGAAAATAACATAACTGAATCAATAAGGAATAAATTAAAGAAAACAAGAAAAAATGTATTCAAAAAACAGCCAAGAGCAGAAAAACTAAGAGTGAAGCCTCTGTAAGAACAAAGGCTTCCCTTCCTGGGAAAGCAGTGCTATTTAGTCCACTTCAGAAACACACATATTTTTGCCTCACCTTTAGGGAACCTTCTCTGATAAAGAGACGTTTTTCATTGTTGGACTGAGATTCTGGAACGGTCTCCATTATGCTCTGAGGTCCTGATGTGGTGCCTTTGAAAAAAGAAAGGGGAATAAAGAAATAAAAATTGAATATGAATTTTAAAAAATGGAAAAATAAAAGAAGTGCAAGTAAATAAAAACATACATATTTGAAAACAGTAAAAGTATAAAAGTGGAAAAAGAAAATGTTACATATTTTTAGATACAAAACAGAAAGTCTCTTCAGGTTAGAAGAAATTTACCTGACAACTGGTATTACTCGATACTCATAACTGGGGACCAAATATGCTAAACAATACATCAACATATTTAAAGACTCACTCTGCTTCTTGCTGTTGAAGGCTTTGCTCCTGAAACAAGTTTGGTTTTTTAACACAGAAGAGCAATGCTGAATAAACAATAAGCAGTATTTATTATTTTTTCTACTGCCACAGTTCCAGAATCCAGATCCAGTGCTTTAACCAGCTCACCACACGCCAGAACAAGCTCAATACCAGTCTATTATAATAGATATTATAACTTTTCAGGACAAAAAAGTGAATAAATGCTGTCTGAACCCTCAAACCCTCACTAGAGAAATATTTACCATACCCCCTGTTTACTGTTAGAGCTTTATAGTGTCCATGACTCATTAAAAGGGTATCTCTGAGGTGTGGGGGTTGATACCACGCTGGGATACTCGGTATTTACCTGCTAGAAAAGGTAAGTTCAAGTACACCATCAGAAATTGCTAGTACACTATCTAGAAATTTTAATTTGATTTATCTAAAAATACAAGCTGCAGTGTGGGTTACAACAGTGCCAGTGACATTGAAATCACCGACAGCCACTGCTGCCCATCTGCACGTCGCAGCTAGAGGCGACGATCTTCCTTCAGCAAGTGGGATTCTCCAGGAGCCACTGGCACCAGGCACCAGATGGGCAAGACTCGGTTTAGCTCCTGTGAGAGCCAGATAGGCACAAATTATGATTTAGAAATAGTCATAACTGTGTTTTCAGTTTCCAAATCATAATCAGAAATGTTAATTGGGCTGAGGAACAACATTCCTATTTTTGGAAATGCTAACTGCTGATACTAGAGGGTTTCGAAGTGCATTCTCACAGAAGGTGAACAAAGCAAAGGCTGAATATCAACGAGTCCTTGTTAGTGCCATTGAAATACACAGACAATTTAGACAAAAGTTCTCTTTTGTCAAAAGGGGTTTCCAGATTTTGCTGCCTGCTCAACATTACTGTATGAACTGCTTACAATTTTCACTATCCAAAATGTTGCTTGTAATTAAAGTTTGCTCTGCAGTCCAGTCAATTCCAGTTTCCAGTTTTAGCTTCTAGCCCACAGCTTCTGACTTCCAGCTTTAATCCTGCCCTTTTAAAAAGGAATTTGCCTGAACTGTGTTGCCAACTTTAACTGCTGCTCATCTCTTCATATGTTCAGCCATTTAAACAAAGATTCAGATTTGTATGTAATCCTTAAATTAATTCCGTTACATAAACACAGCTATCATAGATTGACATTAAAGTTCTTCATTTTCAGAACAGAGGATGATGCAGAATATTTAAATACGTGTAATTAATTCATGTCAAAACATGTTTATGCCTGTACAGATGACAAACCAAGGTCACCCTAGGAAAAAACATAAGAAATTCTGGTCTGGACAACTTTGAGTCTCAGCACTCCACATGAAAAATGAATTTTCTAGGATAAAACAAAGATACTCACTTTTGGCTTTCTTAGGGAAGTCATTTTTTTTGACAGCGCATGCAGAAGATTCGAAAAGTCCTTCTGCCATGGCTTTTTCCAGCCTAAGAGATTCTCTCTCCTTAGCCATCTTCTCTTCTTGGTATTTGACTTCTTCCTCTTTCACCCAGTCTTCGATGGAGCTGGCCACCAGCTCAAGATAGCTCCTGAAAAGCACATCATTGCTCTGTTCACTGTAACGCAGTTTTCACCAACACGACCTCAGGCCAAACAACATCACTTGGCTTCTCAGTTTCTTACACAAATGTTATTGTATAACCTTTGAGGGAAGGCTCGCGTCTGACAAGGGTTTTGCTCAGTTTTTACAGGAGCTGGTGTTTTTGCCTGGTTGGTATTTGCTTAATATATGTTACCTTTGGGGTTTTGGATATCCTTTCTGCAAAGGGATATTAGAAACTTGTCTTCCAAAGAACTCCTGCTCCCAAAGAAAATCCAGAAAGTCAGAAAACAGAGACATTCAGTTTAAGAAAGGTTCAGACTCATTCTCCTCCTCACTGTTTTATCACCAGCATAACTTATTTTCTTAGTGGTTCTTGATTTATATTGTCTTTTAGAATACACTTAATTTGTTTGCTCAGCAACTGAGGTGTTATTCTATTTAATTTCTAGCTCTTCTATATCGGTGTGACAAGAAAGGTGTTTGGAAAATGTCATCCAAATCCAGATCACAGAATCGGTGCACCGTAGCTTGGCTTAAATTAAGAATATTCACAATTAACAGTTGAACTGAGCACTGAAAACCAACCGACTCACAGTTTGCAGCTAGTATCTGTAGCTGCACTGTCTCATCTTCCAAAGGTGTCTGAAAAGACTGCTAAAATAGTTCCTTGTGGACAACTGCTTCTCAGGCAGGACAAAGCCTGGAAGTCGTATATGCAGTTGCCACTCAACCCCTTGTTTGGAGTGCGACCATAACTCCTTAAAGTAAAGTTCTCACTGTGTGCAAAACTAAAAGGGGCTTTTAAAGAATGCATGAGGTTTAATTGTTGTGTCTTCACAACGTTTTGCATTTATAAGTTCAAGATCATTCAATTGCACTCAAAAGCTCTAAATGCATTACAGATTTTGGTTGTGAACATGTAGGTGGCACAACCAGTTCACGACAGTTTTAAAGTTCTTATTGCAGCATCACACTGTATGTCCAAGAGAATGACTACGTGGGCTGTCTGCACAGACTGGAGATGGATGCTCTTCATGCACTGCTGAAGATACACAAGCCTCTCTCAGTTCCTGCAATACATGTGGAGCCTCCTTTGGGAAGCTTGCATGGAGAAACTATTGATCTTACACTCAGAAGGGACAACGTGACTCTGCTTGCATCTGAAGAAAAGTGTACAAGCTCTAAAAGGTGTTGAAAACAAAAGGCAAAACTAGGCTGGAACCTAGAGTTGTCAGTTCTGGAATAACTTGAAGATGAATATACGTTACAAATAAAAAAAGAGATTATTCGCATGGAAAATATTTTAGGGCAATGAAACAGTCATTCAAAGTCAAAAATACACATTCTATTAATATGTATTCTGATGTCACTACTGCCAACGTCTGACTCAGAATCATTTCTCAGAAAGGATTATTCTTTTCCAGTAACTTGTGCAATGTGTGCGCTATGAAACAGTAAACTAATGTCATTAAGATTAACTTTAAACAAAAGAATAGTTTTGATAAGGTCTGAATTCCCTTGGCTTCCTCACAGAGGCCACTTATCCTAAACAGAGTTTAAATGTCTTACACACACATCTCACTGCAGGTACATGTGCCCATGCCTTTAGACCCCTCAGTCAGTAGCACCCATTGGATTTCATGGACAGCCTCCTGCTGCCTACCCCTTGAAGAGCACAATTCCTGAATTTTTGGATGTTGTGCATAAACTACAGGACCTGATATCCATAGGGAAGAAGGAAGGGTAACTGGGACCACCAGCTGCTGCAATGTAAGAAATTTAATTTCCCTCTTGCATCAGAATTCGCCGGAACAGGACCCAACCGATCAGTTGGTAACAGAAGCATATTCCAGGCAGCGACTATGGAGCAACCTACAAAGTGTGTCCGTAGTCTGTAAGATGTCACCGTAACGAAGTAACAAGCAAACACAGCTAGAGAACTCCTGACACAGACAGTCAAGCACAGCGTCTGTCGTGTATCTGTGACTCTCCCGTGGTGACGGTGGGACTCTTAAATCTGTCCCCCAAAGTAGAGCAATAGTCATTTTAATGGAAGGGAAACTCAATAAAGTGTTCCTAAACTCATCAGGAGCCAGCTACTTCACACAAAGTTAAAAACGAGTAATACTGCTGCTTAATTAACAAGTAGGGTTTGTGCCTGTTTCTGGCAACCCAGCAGGATCTGGAAGCTAACGCCGGCAACAGCTTGGAGCACTCCAGGTATTTAAAGACTGTCTTCCACAGAGGTGTCGTGTTGCTTGGAAACACACACTAGCAAATATTTACAACACTTTGTCTGGAAATCTGAAGTGATCTTCAGCAAAAAGGCTGAATAAGGTCAGAAAATGGGCGGATTATTTTGCAGAGAAAAGGCAGGTATGGATGCCACAGAACAGAACCAACCAAGCCCATAGCTCTTCAAGGACACCGAGTACCACACACAACAGAGAGGTATTTCTATGAAACAAGAGCAAAGACCTCCTTGTTAGCTTCCATGCCAGTTTCTTCTGGAACTCCTTGCTTCTTTGAAAGAGGACCTGATGAGGAGTCACTGCACAAAGATGGTATGCCCCAAGCAGGAGCTATCTTTAACATCTAAGACTTGTTTCCAGTGTATGTGGAAGAGTAAGAAGGAAGCAAACAGCTATTCCATTCTCAACTGAACGATAATGCATCTTCCAGAGAACATGCTTCGTTCCTTCTTTGGATGCAAAATTAGCAACTTTTGTTTTGCAGGTACCAAGAGCTCTTCCCATTTCCCAATTGGCCTTGAATTGACTATTTCGATGCCCTTTCAAGGTGACCAGGCAAGTTGTTCTAGGACCCCACAGACGAAGAGTTGTTGTTTCAAGGAGAAACGCTTCCTGAGATCTGGTTCCTCACTATCTGCTCCTACAGACAACACAACAACAACACGCCACTGAGGTGTTACTCAGTGTACGTAAGCACCAAGTGACATGTTAGGTGTACTAGAGTATGTGACCTGGTCTCCAGTGTCTGTTCCAAAAGAGTACGGGTCTCTTATGGGTCTCGTGTCACATATATCAGCCCTGAGCAGACATCTCAGATACACCAGGCAGCTGAACTGGCACCATGTGTCTATGTTTAAGAAACTTGAATACAGTGCCCCAAAGAAGGGTAAGAATAGCTGGCAAATTAAACAGCTCTGGGCTCCAACAGACTTCTGTGTAACGGGTTGGAGACCACTGACCCTCTGCCTGGGTCTATCTGAATGCAAGACCCAGGTTTAGCTGAACACACCACCTTTCACTATCTTTTGGGGAAGATTTCAGCTGCTAGATACCTGCAAAACCAATAATTGATCGGTCATTTAGTGGATTTGCCCAACAACCACAAAACAGACAGCATTTTCTTCAAGGAACTTTGTGTTTCTGCTGGTAAATCTCTTCTGGCTCTGGTCTCAGTGACTGCTAATCACAACAGCCTCTTTTCATGGCAAATAGCTTAAGTCCAAGGGCCTGGCAAGCTGAGATGGACCCACACAGAGCTCCTTGACTGAGAGTAAAGATACCAAATCCAGTACAAAACGTGCCTTCAGGCAGACACACTTTGCCTATTTAGCATTCAAACCTGTTCAAATACATAGGCACCAACAAAAGTTTCCATTAAAGGATTCCCATGTTCTGATAAATAAGGCACTGCACATACAAAGGGACATCTGCAGACCAATTGGGGGGTGGGGGTTGTCCTTTGGATAATTTACTTGAAATTCTATTTGATAATTCGATAATTAATCCATAGAGCACCAGAGCGACATGGTTAAAGATAACTCAGCTGTCTCTCCATGACACTGTAACTTCTTTACACATCAGTACATGGACACATATTCTATCTTTGGTCAATTATTTGGATTAGCAGTTGTATCCACATCATCATTTATATGGCTGTTTCAGTGCAAAAATGTATTCCAAAACGAAAAGGTCCCACAACAAAGGCTCTAAAAGTGGACCCATCAACCACTTGCACGCCTCTAACTGGTGAGCAGAGTGTGACAAGGAGTTAAGAAGAGTGTGGTATTCTGTGAAAAAAAATATTCTAACATTAATGAAGGGCTTCTAGCTTTTCTCCCAGTGACACTCACCCAATTTATGCACACATAGTTGAAAAACCTGCTAATTATATTCTTAGAATTTTCTTTTTTTTTTTAACCTCCTTCACCCGAAGTGTCCTTAACATCATTTTCTTGATGTAGGTATCTCTAACATGACTTTGCATTATATATTTTTATATAGGTTGTGATAAGGAGTCACACACAGTTACTGCGTGGTTCTCCTCACTAGGAAAAGCTTTGTCTCAACAGAATTCTTTTGATATAGCACTGTTTTCCACCTGCATGTCTTGCTTTCTCATAGATGTGTTACATCTTCTAATTTCAAAGCTTTGCCCCAGACGTAGCCATGCAGCCTTTAACTGAACACAACTGTGAATGGGACATGAAATATAAAATCAATTACCTGAATCCAACATCGGAGTGCAATGCAACATCCCAAATCTCCTGGCACGAGCGATACTGATTCATAGGATTGTGAAGAACCATTAGCAAAGAGTTATCCTGGGTGTGATAAAAGGAATCAATACATCTGTATTCCTGGGACGCAGTATGAAGAACCTGAAAAGGAGAGGAATAAAGGCACATCCTCCCTGCAGACAGCAGCACACGTACAGATGCTACACAGCACAGCTTTTAGCAAAAGCTGCTTCAGAACTTCACTCTCCTACAAGATGCAGGCAAAGCATTTGGATTCCAGCAATGTGAGATGTCCAGGCAGGTGGAAATTGAAACTCCACCACTCTTCATACTGAGAAGAGGCAGCCACATGCTCCACCTTCTGAGACTGATCCTGAATGAAAAAGTCTGACTAACTAATAAATAACTAAATTTAAATATTAAATAAATACTTTAAAAATTTCAAATATTAAAGTATTAAAATATATAAATAGTAAATAAAAGCAGAAGTAAAATATACTAGATAAAAAGAAAACAAATTTACTTTTTTTTAGCTCAGTTATGTTGACTTGGTATTCAATTTGCTATACTATGACCCGCACATCTCTGAGATTTACTGTGTCCTATGTTATTCCACTCTGTTCTGTACTGCCCCACCATTTTCAAAGTTTGCATTGCCTGAAGGCTGTAACTTATTTTACAGTTACAGCTAAAAGCAAGCCTTCTTTTAAACTGTTATTATTACAGAATCATGCAACTGAAGTAAAACTGAAATAATTCCACATCAACAATATTCTCTTTAAACATGAAAACCTTAATATCAGGTGGTGTGAAAAATTATGTTCAGATGTGACATGTAGCATAAGGAAATAAGGAAATATTCCTACAAAATGTTATATTCTCTTGCAATAAAACATTATTTTCTGTTACAGGTATTTGCCATCAGTATTGTTTGACCAGATCCACTGCTGATTGACAGGTCAGTTAGCATTAGCTATGCATCTGGCAGAAGAAGGAACTCCCCATGTACTGAAACATATGACCAGACTTGAACTTTGTGATGCTGAAGAAGTCCAAGAATCTGTTCCTTCACCCACGGATAGCAAGTGTCAGGATCAAATAAGAATTGCAGCACATGAAGCTCAAGGCAGCACAGGAACCAGTAACCCACTCCACTGCCAACTGCAGCCATCTCCACCTGAGCTTATCTTGCACATTTGTCCTTCTGTCTTTCTGCAAGATGAGTTTTAGTTTTTACCTTGCAAGATTTCTATAAATGAAGCTCGTAGACCTGAAAGGGTGAAGTACCATTACAAGAAAATTTTCTACTTGCCCACAAAACACATACTGCATAGGTATTTGCAAAGTGTGCCTTCACGTCCTCTGCACCAATGGGTCCCACAATGCCAGGGAGGGTCACCCCTAAGGGCAAGATCATTTTGTCTCCATCACACGTTTAGCTAAAAGACTCGCTACTAAAAAGGACAGCTGCAGTTTGGCCAAACCAGGAAATAATAACCCATCACAAACTAAATTTCACACAAGAAACTGAAAAACAGCTAAAGAACAATGGGTCTGGGTGAAAATGTAAAAGGGGTAAAACTGAGTCCATTATCTAGCAGGGAAATACTCTGCACTCTGCTACTCATTCTTTGTACAGCACTCTGAGGAGTGACTGTGTGTACAAGATTGTCAGCTCACAGATACCTGGAGAAGAACATGGGGTTGAAAATGCTCAGCGAAGCTCCAGTCTGTCAAACAACGCCTCTGTGTCTTTTTTATTTCTTCCAGGTTTGGTCCTAGGCCACAATTTTCCAGACTTACCTTAAAATACACCAAAACAAAATAAAGCACATCAGCATTTCAGCATCAGTTGTATTAAATTAACTGTAACCTTGTTGATTTAACAGACAGCGTCCCATGTTGCATCACAGCTAACTGCATAATGCTGCACACGTGTAGAGCTGTATGGCCCTACTTAATAAAAAACACAATTACTCCCAAAGGTTTGTGGTCTTGGCTTTTTTATGGCAAACACAATCTAAATATTTTCATTATTAGGTTATACGTTTTTGAGCTCTGTAAGCAATTATGAATATTTAAACACGTCCTATGAAGTAATTTTAAAATTGCTATATTTATCCAGGGCTGTATGGCAGGCAGGTGTTTCTGAAGATGCCAAACTACACAGTCTATTAGTGTTTGGCAATTTCTCTCAATCTCTCAGTATTTGACTCCTGGTGTTCAGTGAAACCAGCACAGAAATGTCATTAGTAGTTTCACCAAGACCCATCACCTCAGAACTCAAAGAAAGTGATTTCCTAGTGCTTAAGCACTGTTTGCCAAACACCACAAAATTCAGGTTTGCATGCAGCACTGCAAAGGAAACCCGGGTAACACCTCCTGGCACTGAGCAGTATCTTCTGCTGTCTCATGCCACAGAGCACAGTTTATCCCATTCCTCACACTTACCGTATCAGAAATAAAAAGATCCAATTCTTTGTTCAAAACAGGATCAGCCAGACCATCTCTTCCATCTTTTCCATTTGCATCTGTATGTCCTGGAAATTGAAAGCAGAATTTTAAGACGCATTCCAGAAATTTCAGCCCTAAACACTAAGGCTGCAGTGATGCAGTTTCCTTAGTCTCCCTGATGAGACTGCCATCAAGATGAAGCTTCCTTTTCCAACACTAATCCAATAAATGCTTGATCAGCTCTGCCACACTTCTGGCATAAAAGGGCAAGTGGAAATCCAGGGACAAAAAGTACCAGACAGTTCATTAAAAAGAAAAGAAAAAAGAAAAAGAACAGAATCGTTTACAAGAGCCACTTAAATCATCCTCTTATTTGTCCTACACTGGCCTTTCATGGCCAAAAAGATTAAAAGTACTTTAAGCAGCATCCTCAGGACTCAGACACGAAGAACTGTTTTTCTGCTTACTATACAAGAGAACCAACAGCAAGCACTCCTTTGCACAGATGACAAAAAAAGAAAGCAAAATCCATTATTTTTGACATTTTAACGTATCTTTGAAAAATACAAAATTTTAAATAAATCAAAATTAATTGGGTTTATAGAGTTCTATAAGCTACTGACAGATATTGCTTCTGCCGAGGATCTGAGCAGTGATTCCTGATGAACTCTCACTGTTACAACGGGCACCTGACACAAGTACCATCACACACTGACTAACGTCTACACTCTCATAATTTCTTGTAATAATTTCCTTTTAAAAAGTAGTTTATGTGCAGGGTTAGGGCAGAAGTCACTGATATTTGATCAAAATTCACACATACAAGAAAAATACTCTTCCTGGGAGAAAATACTCTGGAGAGTATTTGTTAAGTGGCTCATAACCAGCTCAGCTTCCAGAGGTATGTCTGGCTGTGCTTCTCTCGGAAATCAGACCTGCCTACTGACTGCTTTTAGAAGATTTAAGAAATCTGAAAGCAATTTTCTCTTCTGGGTATTTGCTTTATTGTTGCAGAAGTGATGAAATATTGGAGGCTATATTTGTAATTGCAATATTTAGTATTGTGACTAACATAAAAGTAAAATAAATTAACAGCCAAAAAGGGTTCCCAAAATTCAGAAGAAAGGCAGATATGCATGATTCATTTTGTCTGCTCCAACCTTCTAAGGAAAGGATCCCATCTAAGCTTGTTGCCTGGGCATCTGTATTAGGAAAGCACAGGCAACATCACGAATCTAAAGGTACAGCAGCTTAAACTGACCTAATTTCTATTTTTCTCACATCCCAGAAAAATAATCCCTTGTTTTCAATATTGCTTCTTGGCCAACACTGCTCCTGGCCAACAACTTTTCATTATGTTAGCATCAGCAGAAGGAGAAGATGTAGAACTTGCAGATAATTCACTCTGCATTGTCTGCAAGAGATCTCCATCTCCGACCCTTCCAGCTAAAACGTTCCCGTTCCAAGATGAATGAGATAGTTATAATGGCTCAAGTGTCACACGGTAACTTGCTACAGACAGACTAATTGCACGGACTGCAAACGAAGTAAGAAAAAAAAAATTATAGGAAGAAGTATGTCTGCATGTGTAATTACAACATATAGCACACCTTTTTTCCATTTTCAGCTTTTTATATCACCTTCTAGAGTCCTTGTGTAACTTACATATATCCTTTCCACTTCCGAATGCTCATTTACTAGTAATTATCTAATTAACCTTATACATCACTTCTGATTTCACTCTGTGGTTGCTACTGAGTTTGTAAAAGACTCGGCTGCCACCACAACTCACAAGAGCCTGTAATCAGAAAGGTATTTCAGCATGTCTTCAGTATTTTGTGGCTCTAAAATATATTTGATTCCACGAGCAATAAAACAGTTTGCTCGTTCATACTCTTCCACAGATATGATTTTAAAGAGCTGCTTAAATAAAAGCTGTCACACCAAATAGCTAGCTTTTGTCTTCAGCTAGTAATCCTACATGGATACTCAACGGACAGACCATGGAATACTCCAAATTCAGTGATTTGTACAGGCAAGAAAAATCACAGCCCTGGAATTGCAAATGATATGGCAAAATAAATAGCGGGTTTAAATTCTTCAGGAGTAATGTAAACAGGTTTTTACCAGAGCCTCTTGGAGATTTCTCACTAAGCCTCTTTTCCATAAGGAACAGTTGTCTCAGCTGTCTTGCAAAGCGGGCTGGATTCTCCCAAGGGATGTAAGACACTTCAGAACCAGCTCCAACCATAGATCCAGAGCTCTCCAGGAGACCAGAGTCACTCAGGCCCGTCAGCCTCAGGCTTTCAAAAGTAAACACTCTGAAGGCTCTTTCTACTTCAGCCCAACTCAGAAGTTCTAGAAAGGAATTAAAATCATTAACTGAAAACGTCCTTACGGCTCAGCAAAAGATAAATAGGAGACTATGTGAGTGTATTGTTCTTGGCAACTCTGCAAAAGCCAACAACCATTTCCTTAACGGTACTGGATCAGATTATGTGAGCTACATTTTACACTGCATTTGAAGTTGAATGCTTCCAAATTGCAAAATGATATGCCTAACTACTAACCCACCTTAAATGAAGTGTTTCCTACATCTGAATACCTCTTGGCTCATTAACTTTATATAAATGATGTTGATTTTGAAATACTGAGTAGACTTTATCAAACCAGGTAACAACTAGTTGTTGTCAGTTCATGAAAAGGCTTCCATTACCACCAACTTTTTTATTATCTGTAGCTTCTCAAACCAAGCACCAAATGCTTTTTTCTCTTCAGACAAAATTTTACACATAATTTATACAGAAGCATGCAAGGTGCAATAAACAATAAATCCTACTTGTGGTTGGATGCATTGGTGTCCACATAACAATGATAAGCACGAGAAGGACTGAATTTTAAGACAGGTAGTTCAGTGCCCAAATCATACGAGGAGTATCTTCAGTTTGGAATGTTTTCTCCTTATGGTAGGCAAACACCCAAGCACGTCACACATCTTGAAAATGTTGGTCATCTCACCCCCTGTTCATACCCATCACCTTCCTTATAGAAGCAAAAATATTGCCAGCTAACAGTTGGGAGAGTTTGGCAGTACAGTACGGACCAGTGAAGACCATCAAATTTGATCTCCAGCAGCTGGAATGCCACAGCAACACAGAATACCTTAACAGCTTAATGTCCAAAACGAACATACCAACAACTAGAAACAACGCAGCGAGCGCAAATTAATCCAACACAAGGGATTACAGGACTGAATAGCTGGGAAAGTACCTTCAAATCCTGTGCCTTGTAAGATGGCATAAATGTGACCAAAGGGATTTGGATTTTTGTGTCTAGCATAAACTGTTGAAACTACCTAAGGGTTTTTAGGCAGCCTTTGGGATTGTTTCACGGGGTATGTCATGATGGTATGCACACTCCAAGAAAGGGTAACTGCAGAAGTGATTATGGTTGAAGAAGTTAATGTATTCTTGGTTTGATAAAGGGACTATTATAGAAGCCATTTCATTATTAACACCAACAGCTTACACAGAACACATTCTGAAAGCCATTTATTGCCCAATAAAAATCTTCTACCTAAGATACACGTGCTCCTCCACCAAAAGGGTGTTGGTAAATAAACATACAGCTTACATCAGTGTCTCCTAAAATGCATTATATGTCCTAGGATCAAAATAACAATTTGTACAACTTTTTTTTTTTCCTCTCGGATTTAGTAGTGGTTTTATGTTCGTGACTATAAATAAATAAATGAGTTCTAACACACTTCCAGCTCTAAGTCATGCAATATTTAACACTCATACAGCCCTGCCCATTAACCACAACGCTGAGGTCTAAAGTTAGTCCTAACTTGTATAGTAGGCTGAGGTATAAGCAAGGATGTGAACTGGGAAATTCTGCAAAGATCTTAGGCAGCTGAAAAAAAACTTGCCCCTATATTCTTGCTATTTAACAGGACCATCAACCAGAAGAAAAAAATGGAAATTTTATCAATGAAAATCAGGTTACCACTGGTACAATGATGCCTGAGCTCGTGAACTCTGGCCAAGCGTTTAGTGTTGTCTTCAGCTGAGGGAAGAGTGAAATGGATAAGTTCTGTAAGAGGCAGTTTATCCATCATTTCATGTTCAATCTTTTCTGGATTTAAGTTCTCCTGGACCTGGAGCAAAAAAACGAAGTACCAGAATTAAAGTAAGTGTTCGGACCAGTGGATTTCTAAAATTATGTTTGAATAAAGAAGTATTTTTATAGCAGAAGACATAAGCATGTGTTTAAGCCTACTGGACTTAAACTTATATTTGAGCATATACTCATAGTGTGTTACTGAATCACAGTATCAGATAGTTCAGGCCGAAAAAACGAGATACGTAAGATAACGATGGCATAATAACAGGCACTCGTTAGAAGGTTTTTGCCTGTGCTAGCTAGATTCAAAAATTCTGGAATACAGAAATATGTCCTGATCTATTTGGTCAGGCAGCAGGTACCTTCCACATATCTTTCAGCTGATCTTTCAGCTACTTCTCATAGTAATGAAGTCCATAAGCTCAACCAGTCTGTGACTGCAGCATCCCTATATATTGAAGGATTTAATTTTTGGGACTTACTGGTATCTTTCAGCTCTTTTTAGTATTAGACACAGTACGTTTTTTCTTGTATTGCATCTTCCAAACCTTTTTCCTCTATCCACTCCTCAAACATCGTGCTATATCCTGCATTTGCTCTGCAGCAAGGACATCAGATACATCATGTCTATGGCTGCTAAGAGCATCTCTCTTGGTGATTAATTACTCTGTCCTGCCTTCTGCTTGACTGCCTCCAGGGTGTAAAGCTCAATTTGTTTCTGAATACCGTTTTAATCAACGGTTGACAACGTATTCCACAGACAATTTGTAATTCAGGAAGTCAGGCAGCTACAGAACTGTATTATCACTTGTACTGCCTGCAGGGTATTTTCAAAGTTTAATGGTAAAACTACACCCTAGCTTTGGAAAAATTTGAGGAATTCATAGTGGGTTTTGGTTCAGAAACTCTGGGAACTGTTCCTTTGAAATAATCTCAAATCTTGCAGACTCTGAACCTTTCTGCCTGTGTTAGAATTTAGCGATGTCTTGAGTATACACTACACTGCAACTATTCAGTCAAGCTGGGCACACCTCTTGTGTTCACTAACAAACTCTGTATCTTTTCTCACACTTTTCTACATCTCGGTATTTAATCCAGTCTACAAGTTAAATCAGTTATAAATTTAGTAACTCATTTTCTGCAGTTTCATCAGTGTTTGACTACAGTAAAGCCAGAGTTTTGTTAATACCTCTTGTCTATGCCAAAGGCTGAACATTCTTATTAACAAAGCAAACAGATCACTGAAATCAATCTAACGCTGTGTGTGTGTGATGTGCCCTCTGTCAGCAGCAGTAACTCATTGCTTCTCAAGCAGAACAAACACGTGTGTTAGCTATCTGAGCAGAAAAAATCCAGGCTATACTGTTTCACTGTTTGTAGAAACACTACTCCATCCCTTCTAGTGCATTGAGTATTCGCTGCCTGTGGCCTTCAGAACTGTTTATAGATGAGAGGTGGCACTATACCTTCAGGGGGTGCAACCGCTGAGCCAGGGTATCATGGTAGTTAAATAACAGAGGGTACTTGGGGGTGACAGTCTTTTTCTTGCTATAGTTAGGGGAAAAGTAGTCATGCAGATTCTGTTAAAAAAGAAAGGTGTATTAAACCCCGATAATCACATTTCTTTGTGGTTTTAGGAAATGAACAAAAGACAACACAAACCTTTTTTTCCCTCTGGGAAAGTGAAAGAGAAGGAAGGATAGAGGCTATATGGTCTGCAAGGGTGTGATGTAGCCCATCTGCCCGGGGCTCTGGCACCACCAGACTAGGCGGCGTAAGGTCTTCTTCACTTGCAATAACCTAGCGAACACACGGCAGTTTTCGTTACAGAATGAACGCTGCTTGACTTCATCAAAGCTAGCAAGGAGACCCTGCTATGAGCCAAACACACAGCTACACGTTTTGTCAGGAAAGAAAATCATAACGTTTTTTTCAACAAGTAGTGAAAATGCAATTCTTCATGTTAGTTACTACCCAAACCAAAGATTATGGAAAACGGAATGAAATGTTTTCTCCTATTACTCACTTTTGGAAGGATGAGAGGAAAAGTATTTCCAAATGAAATGTTAAGAACTGTTAATGAACACGGATAATTAAAAACTGATTATGTATTAGGTGTTGGATCTTACTTTGAGTATTTTTGCCTGAGTCTATTTTCAGACTAAATTGCAAAAAACAAACCAATCAGACTGTGCTGAAATTTTATTTATAAAAGAAGGAAGATTTCCATGTGTGCCTGAGCTCAACAAAAGGCAAATCTGTCTGGCACTAGTGAGGATATACACCACTTCTACACTAGGCTTGCCCTAAGACCTTTGTACTGAGGAAAACACTAACAGTTCAGTATCAATAACAGTGTTGCAGGACATGAAAACTTGCTGTTGACTCCGATAAAAAATTACACCCTTTTCCTCTTTTGATTATATTGTATCTGTAGTCATGAAAAAATAAATTTTGGAATAACACTGTATGTACCAGGTAAGCACACAACACTGAAAGAAAACCAAAGTCATCACTTTTGAATTGTGATTCCTTTGTACCAAACCTCCTCGTTCAGTGCCTCCATGCACAGTCTTTTACTTTAGCCTGAAGTAGATGGATTTATTGACCTTTGATCAATTCATCATAACAGGTCTAGGCCAAATTACCCAGAGGAATTACAAAGAGAATATTCCCACCTGTTCCAACATGCAGCTCAGTATTAAGGGTACAGAAATGTATTCCTCAGGAATCTGACTCAGCAAGTCATTGTAATGCCTCATGTCCACAGAAGTAGCCAAAAGAGAAGCTTCTTCCTCTGCTGTAATAAAAGATAAAACATGTAGATTGATTTCTTCAGAAATGCCTGCTTATATTGCCAAGCAGTCCAACTTTCAATTTTTCTTAAAAAAGACTTAAAGTCCACTACTGTAGAGCTTTTAGATCTGACTGTGACTAGGAACAGATGGAAAAAGTGATTTTCTGAAGGACTTTGCTACCACCACTGCAGTTTCCAGAGACTTTCACAATGTACTCACCAAGAAACTGCTCTCACAACATCACATCACATCTTCATCTCACTGCGCAAATAATTTAAAGGATTTGTGTTGTCAGGTGAATAAATGATACAACAGAGGGGACAGCTACAGAGCAGTGCTTTAATTGTCTTCAACTGGGGTTTTTAGACATACCCTGTGCTTTTTTCTTTTCAGATGTACCCTGTGACAAAATTACTGTAGGCAGAAATTCTTCTGCTTGCCCTTTTTTCTTTGAAGGCGTAATCTGTGATGGTGGTTGTACCTAAAGGAACCAAAATAAAGATAAAAACCTCAGAAACAGTGGAACAAATGAGGACTGCACGAATAGGTGGGAGAAAGCAATTTCATTTAGCTTTGGTTACTCACCCTAGACTAGATGCTAAACTTTTAAATGGCTGGTATTAGGGGAGCCAAATCCCCCCAGCTGAATGGAACGAGGCAGTAAGAGCGTAGTTGTATGAATGCTCTAAATGAGCACTCACAGTTCTGCTGCAAATGGAGTAAGCCCATTTTTCCCTTGCCACTGCTTTATGTCCTATAATCCACTTTCTTCTGCCCACTTAAGCTTTTGTCTACCATGAACAAAAGAAAGATACTGATCTTGGATAGAACTAATAATCTTTTTTGGATAGTTCATAGGTCTGCAACAAGACACAGTAGCTCTGTGAAGTTATTTTTCCAGACACAAGAAGGTGTCACCTGAAGCTATTTAAGTAATTTTTCCACCTGTGCTATTTTATACCAGCACCTGCATGATCCTTCAAATTTTCATTTTTTTCATTTCCCCAATGTTCTGCTCATTTCTTTTTTTTTAATTTTTTAGATTTCAAAAGCTGAAGACAAAAATCCCCATTTCAGTCACAAAATTTACACATGGCGTGATGGTCCAAGGTGAATTTTTGAGCCAGAATTAAAGACAGGCAATTCCAGCCTGTCACTACTTATTCCTTACAAGAAGCAGGGTAAAGCAGGAGGGACCCTTGCCTCAGCTGCAGGCGGCCGTGTGGATCTGCTCTCCGATAACGCAGGCACATTAATAAACCTGGTGTTTTCCAAGTAGTTACGATGCTGCCTCCTCCAGTCCAGGCAGTCGTCCATCAAACACGCAAGGCGTCCCAACAGCGCAGTGCCAAACGCCAGCTGGGGCAGAAAATCAGACACAAAGGGTGAAGTTTGCATACAAAAGCGTCACGTAACAGCCACATGGGTCATTAAGGCTCTAACCAGCAGATCTACAACTGTTTAAAAATCTTCTGAGGGCTTTTTCTCCACTAATTCAAAATTTTTAGAGAGTTATTCTAAGAAAACGAGGCCTCATCTTTATTTCCCTGGACACTGGCACACCACAGCATGGACTGAGTACTGCCCAACTGCTCTCGCTGCTGTAAAGTCTGACGTGCCTTAACAGTAACTGTGCAAGCCCTGCTCTCTTGCAACTCGAGCTTAGGTTCATTTTTTGGATGGGAAGGAACAGGAGAGGTAACTTAAAACAATTATTTTATATCATATGTGCACGCTTCCACTGGTGATCAACCTGCAGCACATTTGCAAGGTCAACTAGTCTCCTGCCCTAGAAGGATCAAAAATAACAATATCCCCCCCACCAACTAACCAATGTCATCTCATATTATTTTCTTTCTCTGTTGCCCTTTTAAAACAAAGAAAGCCTCAAGTACTGGACTGTGAGCTCCAGAGCTGCTTGGAGGCACATCAGCACACGGGCCGAACGCCGAAGGAGGAGTGCTGGACCTGCCACAGGCTGACAAGAGTCAAGGTTCTGGAGGTGGTACACCGTGGCTGTCACCAAGGCTTGGCAGGAATAAAAAGAATAACACCAATCACTATTTTAAATGTGAAATATTTTTGTACAAATACCAAAATCCTATCTGAAACCACATGCCACACAAGTCTCAGTGGCTTTAATGGACGTATCCTTCCCCTGTAAATCCTAAACATGGTGGAAAAGATGTAATTATTGTAATTTTTAGACCATTTCTTTCAACAGCCCTTTTCTGAGTGATTATCTCACTTTTGGGAAAGTAGAGGAGGTCTCTTGTATTAAGAAGTTTGCCTGTATGAGGTGGCCATCAACACTGGTGGCCATCAACACTGTCTCAATTTTAAGTTTCTTAAAATGAAACATGGTGAAGAAGCACAACTGTCATTAAGCACTAAATATATTAACTGACCCTTAAGAAGTATTAAGCATCTGCTTTCTTCAACTAGGACCCTCTTTATGACACTTCAAAACAAGCACCCCAATTCACTGATCAGTTATGGAACACTTGTCTCAGTTCTCATAAGATTTAAAGACTAGAGGAGATATTTGGGAGAGAAGTTCTATTTGTGAAAGCAGACTTTTCAGAGCTAATGTTCTTGCATCTTTGCTTTTCCAATTTAATACTCTTCTGAAAAATGGGTTAGTATGAAAACCTTCCATTCATATATTACTTGTAAGAGATCATTAGAGCACATGAAAACGTCAGTTGAAGTACTGGAATGTTTTGAATGCACACTCTTCTAAACAAAACAAGAATTTTTACAGCTACGTGTAACACAACCTTGTTCTACTCACTGGGACACATGCAAAGTTTGGCCATATTATTTGTACAGCCATATGATCTGTATAATTACAGTTTTGCGATTCAATTTACTCGCTCTCTCCTCTTCTCAGGACAGACACAGATGCTTGCCAAAAGTTCTATGGGTCCAACCACTAGTGACTTCAACAAAGGAAAAAATTTGTGAAAATATTTTCCTTTCTAAGTATTTGAAATCTGAAATTGGGAATTACTTGCTGTATATAATTCTCTGTCATTTTTCTATCAGTGTCTAACAATTTGTCACAAGAGTTTTCCTTCTGTATATCTTGGACTTCAGAAATGCAACGAGCTAGGACTTGAAGACTCTCCAGGAAGTCCCCTAGAACAGACTTACTTTATCCACTCAGCATTTCACAATTTATATTCTCCCCATTTGCTTCTTTAAAAACTTACAAATGCTCCTACTTCTTTAGAGCTCTGCTGAATTCTGAGATACAGAAAACTGTGAAATTACAGCTACAACCTGCTGGAACAATTTCAGTGACAGACCATTTTTCTTTTATTTCAGCTACAATATAGCTGATACCCACGAGTAGCAACTCACCTATAAGATGCGATTACGAGGAAGACAGACAAGATTAAAAAACTTATTTCCCAAAGCAGGCTTTGTTTTTTAAGATTTTTTGTTTTTTAAGTAATGTTGTAAGTAGCAAGCCTATTCACTTCCACAATTGAGGCATTCATAGTGAATGCCTTGGAAACCACTGTGGATTTAGCCAAACTTGGTTCTGATCCCTTCAGGATCAAGGGTACTTCCTAGCCCACCAGATTGTTTACATACAGGATTTAATGTACTAGAAGTAAGTGTTAGGAGGGTGTAGTCTGTCCTTTAGCCCTAATAACAGAGACCACAAATACAGCAGGTTAAATTATGGCATGTCACTTTATCTTGCATTAGCAGTTTCTATTTTTTACTGCTGCCATAGTGGATTGGAAAAGACTGGACCCTTTTACCTCATTAGGTTTGAGAACCTAGGTTGGAAAAAAATTCTAACAGTTCACTTTCTCTTCCAGTGCCTGGTAATAGTCCTGACTCAGCAGGTTATAATGAGTAATAAATAGTCCTGACTCAGCAGACCATAATGAGTACTAAGCCAGAGCCACGTTTTGGGTTGGACACGCAGAAGTGGTACTGGGTATGCTAAACCAAAGCTTTGTATCAAAAAGCATTCTTGTATTCACTTTGATTTGTTCTCATGTGATGGTTCTGAGATACAGAAAGTAGACCTGTGGTTATGAGGACAAAAATGTAACTTTTGTGTTATTTCATACTGACATCTGAATCTTTAGTGAGATGCACATTGGGTCTATGTGAAGATGCTGAATGAATTTAATAACTCCAACTGTTTTAAAACTCTGCTGCTCTGGCCTGCAATATTATGACTCTTCAAGCCAGGTATTTTTATTCATAAGACTCCTGAATATACACTGAATAAACCTGTTGGACACATAGGAAATAATTTCTTTTTTTTAGGTTACAAAAATACTAACTACACTGGTTCCGTTTCATAGAAGACTAAGCTAAAATTCCTATCATTTCTAAACTGGTGTTAAATGTTACAAGCCCCAAAACATGCAGAATCTACTGACCAGCACTCCTCTGTCGGACCAGTCCGGGGGAAAGGCACTCTCCTTAACTAGGTGATGAAGTCTGGCAACATCAAAGAGACTTGATCCATGTTTTCCACTGTTCAGAACTGGCTCCAGATATTTCCAAAACATTTCCAGGTCTTTGATAGCTTCGTCTTTCTTTCTTTTCTCTGCTTCTACCACTAAAATTTGTAAGTATTAGATAAATCATGGTACAATGTCTCCCTTTTACAGAAAGCATCACTCATATATTAGTCTTCTGTAAGATTACTTCAGGTATTTTTTAAGACATTCTCAATTATAATCTGGAGATGGTATTTGTTTTTTAGTGGCACAGTGATATTGCTGACTTATGTTTATTTTTGAATGAATAATAGCTTATCTTTCTAACATCATCCAGCCATGCGTTTCCTAGCCTTGATTTGTACATTTAATTATTGCTGTAGAAGCATACTATATAGTCCACATTAAACAGAATAGTCTTTTTTTCCAGATTATTACTCTCTATTCTGTCAAGAACATTTTGTATTTGAATCACAGCCCTTTTCCAACACCCCTGACAATACCAAACAATACCAGACCCAGCACAAATTCCCTGAGTCCACTCCATGTGCCCTTCTCTTTGATAGCAAACCTTTAACAGTTACTCTGCAGAGGCCGAGATTTTTGAATGAAACTGCACCTACTACATGTTTATGTTCACCCAGACCTGCCTTGCTCACTGTGGGCCAGGTGAAATAGCCTTACTAAAACCCAAACATGCAAGACCGACTACTCCTCTGCTCAGAAGGCCAGTACTTCATTTTGTAAGGAAGTTAAACTTGTCTGACATGATTTGTTCTTGAACAGCACACACTGGTTGTTACTCATGTCCTCATTTTTCTTTTAAGTGGTTAGAAATGATTTCTTCCAGTATTTTTCTGGACACAGAAATTAAGCAGATCACACTGCCTTGGCTATTTGTGTTCTCTCCCCTCTTCCTCACAGATCTTCTTCCACTATCTCACTCGATCTTCATGAGTTTTCAAAGGTCTTCAGGCAGATCTTTAAACAGAATACAATTTAAGTTAATCTGAAGCAGTTGATCTGAAAAGTTCTCTACCTTACCTAGGTAGTACTTAGTTATTTTACCTATTCCTCCACAGTTTGAAGCTGAATCTTTCTATCAGCATTAATTGTGGTTAGTTCTAACTATCGCCTGTCAGGAATGGTATTTGTAGTGAAAACAGATTAAATTCCTACAACACACATGCCAGAAAGAAGTACCAAAAGCTTCCCCCCCGCCCCAAAACTTAACCACTGCCAAACATAAACAACCCTCATAACCCTCTCTCCTGCTCAAGATACCCAGGACACCATTCCTCTCATTTACCAAGTTGCTTGTGCCATCTCAACAGCATCAGAATCCATCACGAGGGATTTCTCAGCACCACAGAGAACGTTGCAGGAAGTCAATATGCACAGTTATAATTAGAACTGTAATTATTAGTCAAAAAAACACATGTAGGAACAATTATGGCTACCAACTTGGTTTTCTCACCTACACTAATTTATCACCAGAATTTGACTTAGATTTAAAATAATTCAGGTTGGAAGGGAACTCAATCTCCTACCCAAAGCATGGTGAACACGAAATTCAGGCAACAGTCTCTGGGCTTTATCCAGCTCAGTCTTGAAAATCTCCAAAGACAGAGACCCTATAACCTCTGTTGCACTGCTTGACTGTCTTTGAGGTAACTCCTCACCTTGCATCATGCCAGAATGTTCTGTTTCAGGTACAGAACCACAGAATGGTTGCTGGAGGGCACCTGGTACAACTCCACTGCTCTCACATTGATGAGATCCCGCTGTGCTTTCTCTTCTCCAGGGTAAACATTTCCCATCTCTCTCAGCCTCTTCTGATGTAAGAGATGCTCGCATCTTTGTGGTGGTTTGATGGACTCTCTCCAGTAGCTTCCTCCCTCTCCTGTACTGGGGAGCCCAGAACTGGGCACAGGACTCCAAGCGTGGCCTCGTCAGCACTGAGCAGAAAGGAAGGATCAACTCCCTTGGCCTGACCCAGCCCAGGAGCAAGTTAGCCACCTTGTTTGCTACAAAGGCGTATTGCTGGCTCACGCTCAGCTTGGTTTTCACCAGGGACCACCCCCAGGTCCTTTTCTGCCAATCTGCTTCCCAGTCCCTCAGCCCCCACCACGAACTAGTGCACGGGGCAATTCCTCCCCAGGTGCAAGACTTTGCCCTTGCTGATCTTTAAGAGGCTCCTGCCAGCCTATTTCTCCAGCCTGTCAAGGTCCCTCTGAACAGCAGCACAACCCTCCAGTGTTTCCGCCACTCCTCCCACCTTTGTATCACCAGAGTACTCGTTGGGATACATTCTGCCCCACTATCCTGACCAGTAATGAGGACTGGTCCAGCTGAGCAGGACTGGACCCAGTATTGCTACCTGAGGTACACCACTAGTTACTGGGCTTCATATCCCTGATCACAACCCTGAGGGCCAGGCCATTCAGCCAGTTTTCAATTCACCTCAGTATTTGCTTAACCAGCCCATATTTCATCGGCTTCTTTATGAAGATTTTACTGAAGTCAAGGCAGACAATATTCACTGCTCTCCCCTCATCAACCAAGCCAGTCATTTTATCATGGAAAGGAACCAGGTTGGTTAAGAACGACTTCCTTTTGGTGAATCCATGCTGACTGATCAACTACTTGTCCTCATGTGCTTGGAAATTTTTTCCAGGATTAGCTGTTCCATCATCTTCCCAGGGATCAAGGTGAGGCTGAGTGACCTTTAGCTCCCTAGGTCCTCCTTCCTGCCATTTCTGAAGGTAGGAGTGGCATTTGCTTTCCTCCAGTCCTCAGGCACCTCTTCCAAGTGCCATGGTTATTCAAAAGTTATTACAAGTGGCCTCGCAGTGACATCCCAGCCAGCTCCCTCAGCATTCATGGGTACATCACATCAGGTCCCATGGACTTACACGTGTCTAGTTTGCTTAAGTATTCCCTAACCAGATCCTCTTCCACCAAGGGTATGTCTTCCTTGCTCCAGACTTTCCCCTTGTCTCTGAGGCCTGGGATTTCCAAAGGCCATTCATGATCGCAACCTCTATTTCTTCTTCCAAGTACCTCAGTGAAGAGTCTTGCTCTGTGTTCTTGGGAACTTCTCAGAGGTGTCAGAAGCATGCTATCAGGTGCCCTGTAAGCCTTCTCTTCTCTAGATCAAGCTAGCCAAGATCCTTCAGCCACTCCTCATGGGGTGGCTGTCTGCTGGACTCACCCAAGTTTATTAGCATCTTTCTTGCACTGTGGAGCCCAGAACTCTGGTCTCATGAGAGCTAAGCAACCAGGAATAACCACTTCCCTTGATCTACTGGCTACGTTACTAGAGCTCAGTAGCTACCTTTCACTGATGACTCACATTTAGCTTGCTGTTCAAGAGAGGAACTTGTCCCTGTAAGGACAGAGACAGCTGAGTACCATGGCAGGGTGTTATTCTGTGGCATTTTCTTCTCTGGCTGGGGCTACAGACCCAAAGCAGCCAGTTGTGCCCTTCCCTTGAAATTACTAAATGAGTCCAGTTTGCTTAGCTACACACCTTCCTGGCTAACGATTCACAGAAGTATGCATTTGATAAAACGTTGTTCTTTGGTGCCACTGCAGAAAACCATGGCTGCAACCACTGCCTGCTTAGTCGGTCCCTCTTTCCACTGTCCAGCTGAGGCAAGTTTTGCACTGGCAAACCATTGAGTTTGGTGAGCAAACCAGTGGCAATACCATTTTTGCACTGGCAAACGCAGCTGCTCACAGGTAGTACGGACAAACACAAGGCACAGAGAGGGAGAAAAAAACACAGCAGGAACGTCTTTACTTGGATATAAAATAGTCTCCCTTCCACACAAATTTTGTTCTTATGACCAGATTACCTTCAGGTGAACGTGAAGATTGTTCTTGAAGTTTAGCTGCTTCCAAGTACGTCTGCAATGGTTTATAATTCTCAGAAGAAATTCTAATTACACTTGAAATGTTAATCCCGAGCTCAGACATCACAGGCAACAGCTGAGGGTTGTGGAAATCCAAAATTATAAAGTAATGATCGGCACCATCATCTGGCTCATCATCTGTTCAAAACACAACAAAACCAGATTAGAACAAGGTCATTCAACAGCTAAACAAAATTCTTTTTTTTCTTGTCTATATAGGGATATTGTAAATTAAGGTCAGAGAAGCAGTTATTTTATAACCTCACTGGGATAATTACATAAAAGTTTCACAACATTATGTGCATTAGACTGA